CCACGAGACAAAGAAAGTTGAAAAGAATGACATGTCGCGGCATCACAATTAAAGATGAGAAAAGGGAAGCTAGATAGCTAGGGAAAAACAATATCGGGGCTTAAGCTTATTTATATAATTTGTCAAATGTCAACTAAGAAAAGACTATAGCCAACATGTTAGTTTTGGTTCTCATTACTTTGTAAACACAACTTTGGTACACCCATTTACATCAACAAAGGAATGGTCATCCATGGATCGCCATCTATATCTACCTTTGTCCCAACGTGAGGCCCCTTATAGCTACTATAAAATAATATGCATTTTTTTTTTTAAAAAAAAAAGAAAATCATATAGTCAATATCTTCACTAACTATTTGTTAGTAAACTACTAGTATGTAAGTAGTGAATGTAATGATTTTTATTTAATTTCAGAAATAAATGAAGGATAAATGAGGATTGTAAATTTGTATCCCCTCAAATTTAAATTTTGAAATTTCAAAATCGATGGTCATATATTGTAACGGTCGTTGAAAAGAAGAAAATAGAAATAGAATGAAATCGCTAATCAAACTCATAACTAATCTGAATTGATTAGATTCTTGTTATTAGGTATTATTTTATGAAATTTCTTATATTGATCATAGTAAGTTTATTAATAATGCATACTTGTCGAATCATTTGTATACATACATACATATTAGTAAAGTAATAAAAACTGGTTAGCAAAATGGAAAGAGTTTGCGAGCAGTGACAAAGTTCCGTGGGACCCACTTGAATCCCTACCTCATAGTATCTTTGTCAGTAGCTATAATATATTTTCATGATTAGGTCTTTGTAACTGTTAATCCTCTTCCCATACATAGCCCCTCTCTGCATTTATAATTATCCCCCCAATCAATCACCACTTTAAAACCACACACAATTTCTTAATATTATCAAACCCCACCCATATATATATCCCCCTCAATAATCTCTCCTCACTTTCAAAACTAGAAAAAAAAAAGGAAAAAAAAAAAGAAGAGATGGAAGTAGCACCAATTTTACAGCCATGCAACAACAATCATCACCATCCGGAGAGCAACTCGAGCACGAATTCACCGGCCCGAGACCAAAACGAGCCGATCTTGCTGGATCTGACCCTGTCGGCCCAAGATCCGGCCCATCCCAATAAAGGCCCACCGAGCGAGATTGAGAATCACGCTCCCGAAAGTCGCGTCTTCTCTTGCAACTACTGCAACCGCAAATTCTACAGCTCCCAGGCACTGGGCGGCCACCAGAACGCCCACAAGCGCGAGCGGACCATCGCCCGACGCGGCCAGCGTGCCCCCGGCGGGGGCGGCGGCGGCGCCGCCGCATACGCGGCGGAGCAGAGGTTTCCGAGCATGGCGTCCCTGCCGCTGCATGGGTCCATCGCGGCCAGTAGGTCGCTCGGGATACAGGTCCACTCAATGATCCATAAGCCGGGTTTTTCGTCGGGTTATTACGGGGCGGTCGGTTACGGGTATCCGGGTTGGGCGAGGAAGCCGATGGATCAGCAGCCGGCGGTGGGCCGGCTGGAGGTGCCGGAGGCGTCTTCGGGGGGCGGTGGTTGGAGATTCCCGGCGGCGGCGGATGGGGCACGCGAAGGGTTGTTCAGATCGTCGTGTGATGGTGGGTCCCGCTTGAAGAATATTAGTGCTAATAATAATAATTGTGGTAATAATCAAGAGGAGGTCAAAAAATTGGATTTGTCTCNTGCCTATTTAATCGTTGATTGGAACTTATTGACCATTATGGCTCGATTACATGGAGTTCTACATGTGTTGGACTGAGCTTTTTATTTTGTTTGAATATGAAGATTAAATGGATATTAGAACCTGGAAATGTCAAATATTCATAATACAACTTTTGAATATCAAATTTAGTACTTCAAAATTGACAAGTGAAACTTACTCTAATTTGAGCTCTGTTTTGACTTATTGTTGTAGATCTCGTATCATTATTATCCATAATTTCAAATCATTTCTTCTAATGCTCCTCCAAATACGAATCTTTGCACTCAAAATGAATTTCTATTATTTCCATGCGCACAATTATTTTATAAACTTATATAAAATAATACATAATCAAACTGAAACTGAATATAATCATTCAATTAAAAATGTCAACTCCAATAATTTCGCCAAACATTCGGATTTTATAATTATTTTGTTTCCATTTATAAGTAAAGAAATTAACCATGCATCATCACGAATTCACCAGAAATTAGTATGGAAATATTACTTACTCTCCAATTTTTTAAATTTAAATTTATGTAAACTAGTTCACATTGTGATGCCGCATGAATGGGATTGTTTTGTCAGGTATTGGTTTGGGGCGGACATTTTTCATCAACTAGATTTTTCCTGTTAATAAAATATTGATCCTTACGTTCTCAGCTAGATCTTCGAATCTTATGTCTTTTGAAATTTAATTTTATTTTTAACTTTTAGACGCTCCATTTGGACTTTGCTGCATTTTCTTGGGGTTTTGTTTTATTTTTCTCAATTCTTCACAAATATATCTCTTTTATATATGCGTATGTCATATCTCATTAAGTCATAAAAGCCGTACATCATAACTATTACAAATCGTTATTTTTTATACACATTTTGGGTGTTGTTTTCTAAATTTAACCAGAAATTATTATGACCTGTTCACAAATTTCACTGTAGTGTATTTTTGTCTAACCATATTTAGTAATGATAAGTGAAAATATCATTTTATCACAATTTATACTTATCACACATTATTTGACCATTCATATAATTAATAATGAAGGTAAGTATTTTTATAGGATCATATTGTATACACAAATAAAAACAACACAATACAGTCCACAAATCCAGATAAACAATTTTGATATTTATTTTTTATTACTGGCAGCGTCATAAGGTTATTGTCAATACAGGGACTATTCATTGCAGAAGATTTCTCATCACTAATTTACGCAAAACTAGTACAGTGAAACCAATTATGATCACAATAATTTGTCATTAGCAAATAAATAATGTATATTTTTTCTTTGCTAATGACAGTTGATGACCCACCAAAAGTTGGAGAAATAGACCATCTATGGAGCAGTCTTGATCACAAAGTTGGTGGACTCACGTGGAAACTTGATCTTCTTCTTCTTTATCTCTGTTTTTCCTTTAAAAATTTTTTTACACATTCGCTAGCTTGTTATACAATTGAATTAATCGTAAAATTCAGTTAGTAAAAATTGGATTAGTGATTTGGTCCTTAACAATTAAGATAACAATTTTCGTACGTGCACCAATTTTTCATTTCTGCAATTCCGGCCAATCCTATGGGTTCCCACTATAAGGTGTATGATTAATAAATTATTGTTAATTACATGAGTGGGTAGATAGTAAAGCTAATTAAACAACGTGTAGTAACATTAGGGCGTGATTGATAGGAAAATAATCGGTTATGATCTAATTTAGTTGGTTAAAGTGAATTATTTTTAATAAAATTAATTGAATGGATGATTTTGACTTTTTAATTAGATCACAAGAAAAGACTTATTTAACACTGATGATGATGCAACAAGAGAACGAAGAGACATTGTTTATTGTGTTTTTGTGTTTATTTTCGTGTGTTTTATGTGATTTAGTTTAGTATTTTTAAGTTCGTTTTAGTGTCGACCTGTCCATTTTATCGTGTTTCGTGTATTTTTGCTTTCGTATTGTATTTTGTCGGTTCGACGTATTTTTCTTGTCTTTTTTGTGTTGCTTAGGTCCATAATATTCGAGTTTGGGAAGAGGAGTCATTTCTAAGACATTTTCGAGCCGTCCGAATCATGTCCGAGCCACGCGAACCACTTCCGAGCATATTTATTAATTGTGTGGTGACATCTATTTGCGCATCTCAAGACGAGGAGAAAAAGATTTGAGGAGCGTGGGTAGAAGTTTCAAGTAAATCGGATAAGCGTGCGAGGAATTAGAGCGAATCAAGCGTCAAGGGGTCACCGAGGCCAAGCCAAGGCAATTTTAGCACCCAGGGCTCGCGCCCGCGACCCAGCCCCATGCCCGCGACGTCGCCAGGTCCCTGCGGGTATGCAGCCCCGCGCCCACGAAGACGTCCCAGCTCGCGAGTTCCCAGGCGTGCGCCACATCCCGCGAGTTCGCAGCTCCACGCCCACGAAATCGAAGGTGCCTGTGAGTGCCCTCAAGCGCCAGCCCGCGAGTTTCACGATCCGCGACCGCTAAAGCCCTTGTCCTAGCAAGTTTCTCGCACGTCGGCCCTGCTCGCGAATCCTGGTCTCCCGCGCCCGTGAAATCCTTGCTAGCCCGCGAGTGCCGCGCCTGCTCCTGCCCGCGAGTTTCCAGCACCTCCTAGACCCTGCACTCGCGATCGAGCCATTTGCCCGCGAAAATCCGGCTTTTGCTCGCGAATTCGACCTTACCTGCGAGTTTTCCTCATTAAATGTGTGTGTGTGTGTGTGTGTGTGTGTGTGTGTTTTAGTGTGTGTTTAAGGTGTAGCTATAAATAGACTTGTTGCTTTGTAATTTGAGAACAATTTCTCATTTGCTAAAATTTTCCTTTTCGTTTTTCTCTCCTCCTTCTCTCTAGTTTTCTTTCTCTCTCTAAGGGCTCTAAAACCCTATTTTTATTGTAATATTTCTCCATCAAGATTGCAACTTTCCGGCTTATTTCTTCTCGTGGATGCACTAAGGACTTGGAGACTTCGTTTAAGGCCTGATTGGAGACTTAGTTGAAGGTCCAAGATCTCGTGAGTCTTGTCTTGTCTTTACTTGTTGAATTTATTCTAGGGTAACAGTAGGAGTTTTCATTAGTAAAATATGCATTCATCCTCAAAAGCTAGGGATTATGTGATTTTGTTATTGATTGCGTTGGCTTAATTGCATGAGCGAGTATTGATTGATAGCTCGATTAATTGGTCGCGAGTGACGATTGTTTGATTGCATATTCCCAAACCTATGAATGCCTTCTTTCCATCTCGAGTCTAGGGTACCTTGTTATTTTTCTCTCCATTTTCTTTTTTCGAGCAATTTGAGGACTTGTTTGCTTTAGAATTCGAATCTTGCTTTAGTCTAGTTTAAAATTGTGATCTCTAGCATAATTCAACCACCAAAATGCGAGTAGAATGTATAGGACTTTTTATTTTCCTTTCGTGTGAGTCAATCGTTGCTTGAATCCGTTTTCGGATAGCCTTCCTTTGAGAATGACCCGAGTCCGGGTAGCTCGGTTACCAGTTACCCAAAAATACTACAAACAGACATTGCAGAGTTTTGTTGGCTAATACACTCGTGCGTGTGTCGAGGTCCCTTCAGCCTCAGAGGAGGTCAAGGCTGGAGGATTGACCAGATGTCTTCGAGCTGGTCCATACAGGAGCTCATTAGCCAAAAAGTCGTCGATGATTTATGGTGAGGTCTTGAAGAGGTGCAACAAGTACATACATACAGAAGAGTATGAGACCGAATTAGCTAAGTTGGATAAGTTGTCATTACCTGAAGTATGAAAAGAGAGAGGAAGCTTGTCAAAGAAGGAGATATCGTAAGGGAAGTGAGAGGGTAGGTGGAAAGGTCGACCTTTGTGATGGTCAAAGGTATGAAAAGTACAATCCATTGAGGTCGAAACCCTGAAGAGATGTTGGAAACCATGGAAAAAAAAGGATGATGGTGATAAAATTACTTGGTCGAGGTCTAGGAGAGAGGGCCCGACTCAACTGAAATATATCTTGTACTGTCTTTTTAACTGAGATTACGACAGCACCATGTACAACTGTAGACACTTGATGGATGAAATCGAGCAGTAGTTAATTAAAGTTGGCCACTTGAAGGAATTTGTGTACAACGATCGAGAGAGATGAGACTAGAAAAGAGAGGACAAAGGCAAACGACCAAAGTAACGTGAGGCAGAGGTCGAGGATGATGCACCCTCCAAAAGGGGGTGATCTACATGATTTGTGCAGGACCTACCGACGGGGTCTCTAACAATGGAAAAAAGAAGCATGCTTGAGCTACAAAAAGGAAAACGAAAGAGGTCAGAATTGCAACCAGATAATTTATTATAAGCTTTAGATCAGAGGATGTCAAAGGACTATATTTCCCTCACAACGATGCACTTTTTATCTCCACAGAAGTTGTAGGTTACGAGGTGCAATATATATTCATCGACGCTGGCAGCTTAGTTGATGTGATGTTTTATGACTGTTTCAATTAGATGGAGATGGAAGTCGAGCTGAAAAAAGTCAGCACATCGTTGTTTGTATTTAATGGTAGGGATGTCATGCCCATGGAAGACATCACTCTCCCTACTGCTTTGAGGTCTGGGCCGACGAGGAAGATAAATATTGATATTGTGTGGTTTTTTATTGTTGGAATTGACTCTGCCTATAACATAATCTTAGGGAACCGATCCTAAATGCTTTTCAGGCGGTGGTGTCTTCATACCATATGAAGATCAAGTACCCGGTAGATGAGCTAGTGGGGGAGGTCGAAGGTGATCAACTTACCTCGCGGACATGCTACCAGGTGACTGTAACGAGAGGGCAACAAGGAGTTAAAGATGTGAGAGGTTCAAAAAAAGGAGGAGCTCAAGCTTCGAGCATCTCGAGCAATGGGTGGTCAGTTCAAATGAAGAAAATGATAAAAGAGAGATGTTGTCAGACGAGAACTAGTTGAAATCCAGTTGATTGAGAGCAGTGAAGAAAGGAAGTCTAAGATTGGGGGAAATTTAATTGAGCCACTTAGGTCTGAGCTCATTAGCTTGACCAGAGAGTTCGTAGACATGTTTGCATTTACCTCAGAAAAATTGAGGGTATTAAACCCAGTATCATTGAGCATATGTTGAACATCTATCTCAAATTTTGAATGATCAAGCAAAAAAGGATGCATCACAAAGCTTAAATGAACAGAGTTATTGAGCATAAGGTCGACAAGCTTCTGAAGGCCTAACATATCATTCGAATTCAGTTCCAAGAGTGGTTGTCGATTACAATCATGATGACCAAAGGGGAGGATAAATGGAAAATGTGCATATACTTTCACAACCTGAACAAGGCGTGTCCGAAGTATCACTATCCTCTCCTTAGAATCGATCAGCTGGTCGACTTAACAGTTGGATGCGAGCTGCTTATTTTGATAGACGCTTCCCAAGGTTATCATAAAATCCCTCTTGCCAAAGATGATAAAAAAATATTAAGCTTCGGGACGAGCAAGAAAACTTATTGTTATGTGGTTATACATTTTGGTCTGAAGAATGATGGAGCTACTTACCAAAGGCTGGTCGACAGAAGTTTTAAGGAGCAGCTGGGATAAAATACGGAAGTTTATGTCGATGACATGCTGAATAAAAACAGATTGGAGGTCGATCACGTTGCTAACCTTAGGGAAACCTTTGGAAGATTGAAAAAAATTAGAATGGAGTTAAACCCAGCTAAGTGTACTTTCTGGGTGAAATCAGAAAAGTTCTTGGGATATATGGTGGTTAAAAGGAGATTTGAAGTCATCCTAGAGATGGTTTGAGCTGTTTTGGAGATGAGACCATCCAAGAGCGTGAAAGAAGTGCAGATAGTAAATGGAATGATTGTGGGGCTGATCAAATTTATTTCTAAGGTGACTCATAGGAGTAGCCCACTTTTCAAAACACTAAAAATAAGTGCCAAGTTTTCAAGGATTGATGTAGCGAAGGTTGCCTTCGACAAGTTGAAGGTCATTTTAGCTAACTTGCGGTTGTTGGAAAAACATGCCCAAAGAGAGGATCTGGTGTTGTATATCTCTATTGGTCAACTCGCGTGAGCTCGGTATTATTGAGGGAAGAAAGAAGCATGCAGTTGTCCATTTATTATGTGAGCAGAGTTATGCAAGGAGCTGAATTGAGGTACTCAGAGGTTGAAAATAGAGCTGTCATGGTGGTCGCGACGGTTCAAAAATTGAGGTCATATTTCTTAACTCATAAGGTCCAGGTGTGTTTGGGAGAAACACTGGGTCGACCTGCAGTCTCAAGCCAAATGGTGAAATAGGCGATCAAGCTCAGTGAATGCTCAATCGAATATGAACCTTAGAGAGCTATTAAAGCTCATGTTCTTTTTCAGATTTTATCCACGAAGGCACAGGAGCTGCGGTCGAGGACAATGGGAAGTGACAGATATTTGTCAATGGCTCAGCTCACAGGAGCTGAGGTCGAGGTCAATGGGAAGTGACAGATATTTGTTGATGGTTCAGTTTCCAAAGGAAGTGCTAGGTTGGGAATAGTGATTCACAACCTCTTTTCTTCTTTATACATTCCAGAAATTTCCAATCTTTCACTCTGAAAGCACACTTGATTGAGTTCAACTTTGTCCTATATCTTCGCAGAGTATATAACTTCTCCTCAAGCCAGTTGGGTGAGCTATGGCCCTTTTGCTCTTCGCTAGCAAGTGATCCACATAGATTGCGCCCTATCTGCTTACCAGTCATTTTGTTCATCACCTCTCCTGCAGTGTATTTGTGTGTTTATTTCTTTATTTTTTATTTAGGTCTTCCTCATTCATTATCTCGACCTATTGAAGGTCAATAGGTCTTCTTCATTGATTAGCTCAACCTGTTGAAGGTCAATACATCTTCTTCATTGATTAGCTCGACCTGTTAAAGGTCAGTAGGTCTTCTTTATTGATCAACTCCTATCATCAGGTGAGGTCACTGCACCTAAGATGTCTCTCCTTCACTCCTCGACAATCCCTCCACTTGTCTCCCCGTACCTCGAGTTTCCTCCGTAGACTATTGTTCGTCTTCTGTAAGGGGTGGTTGTGGTAATTGACTTGTCCCTTCTTGAGCCAACACTTAGATCTTTGCTCCTGGTGGGGTGTTGACGGTTATATCCGCCAGCCTTCCCCACTTGGGGAGTCGGATCCCCTATGAGCCATTGACCATGCATCGGGGACTCATGATAGCTCTATTTATAAAAATTAAAAAGTTGTGCCTTAAATTATCAAAATTTAAAAGTTGTGCGTATTATCCTTAAAGTAAAGGTCGTGATTATTTTTTCAATTCTATCAATATATTTTAGATGGAATGCATGTATTTTAAATTAAAATTGTTATCTATTACATTTGGAATCAATTATATCAAAAGATTTAATTAAATTAAAATTGTTAAAAGATACTCATATGATCATCCACCTCCTAAATTATTACATGGCTAACATTGTTATTTCTATTAAATTATCCCACAAAAAGACCGAAGTCCTCAAAATAATGTGTAGGAGTGATTGACAATCCTTAAGAATTACCAAAAGACATAAACTACAAGTAAGCCCCATATTCATGTAAGTTTAGGTGACCTTTTAAGCTGTAAAATCACAGCAACATTCCACGTTTAACAAAACTTTCAGATCTTTTTATCGCCATTGATTTCTTACCTAAGAGATCTTTAGCAACAGGGTTCCTACACCCTTTAATGGCGGGCCCCAAAATATGGAGAAGAAACATCATGAATGATTAATGTTGAATTTCATGTTAATTAATCATGTCATTATCCAAAGCTGTAACTGAAGTCTAGTCATTAACTTCATATTATATTATGGTTAAATAATAAATTCAGCTGATTGAGCCTTCCAGCTATTTTTCTTTCCTCGTGAAAGCTTTACTTACAATTTTGCATTCACGTCACGGGTTATACCCTGTTTATTTTAAGACAAATTTCGTTAGAAACGGGTATAACTGTCAGGCGGGTCGATACATTATATATCTTTTAACAAAAATGATTTTTTTTGTCATACTTTTATTTATATTACTTTCTACAGTTTGTTATTTTAATTTAAAAGTATGAATATGTGATGAAAAAGTATGGCGGTCTAATCGTTATTATTTTTGCTTAACAACAATTTTAATATTTTTAAAGCCAAATTCGATGAGTCATAATTTTTTTTAATAATAATATATCCTTATACAATGACATGTTGTATTTTTATTTACATTGTGTTTAGAAGATGACAAAATATGATTTAAAGTTGTACGTTGAAAAATATGCTAAGGATCATCTCCAATACAACTTTTGACATTATAAAAAGTCATCCATATATATTATCAATTTTTGAAAGTGTATCTCTATTTTTTTCTCCAATGCATATTGTCATGAACTCTTTCATGATGAGGTGGATGTCATTTAATGTTGACAATGTTGAGCACACTTTCTAATATCTAACACTATGTTAAACATGATGACTCATCAATTTACATCTATTTATTTTGATTTTTTATTTTTTTTGTATCAATGAATTATTTAATTGGTCCACCTATACAAATAACTTCTTATCAAATTGATGCATTGGAGATACTAGTTTCATTGAAATTTCTAGTCTTTTAACATTATTCCAATGTGGATTAACATTACAATCACTAATTGACATGTGTTAATACTAATGACCTTTCACACTTATAGCATTAGAGATGCTCAATAGAAAACTAAATTCTTGATACCAACTTTTGTACCACCGACTGAAGTTGTGAAATTGTTGGATTTATGATTAAACTATAAAATACTATTTCGTGTAACCCTTTTGGGTAGTTTAGCTGTAATAATAAAGGCGAGTAGTTTGCGCAAGTGTAATTTCATGTTACATCATTAATTGACATAATTAATGATTTATTGACGAAATTAACGCTGTTGACACTCGCAGACAAGATCTTGTGTGGAAATTTTTTATGCATGCATACTCTAGTTAAAGACTAAATTGTACTACATTATTTTATTTGTTGTTAATTTTCATTTTTTTCTTTTACATAGCAAGCTCCGCAAATAAAATAAAATGTTAAAAGTTTAATGTTAACATTTTTTTTTTTTTTTTNAGTTTCTTTGTTTGTGTGCTGTAATTTACCTTGTTTGCCTCCAAATTACGGGACACAAGAAGAGCACCGCGATATGATGAGTTTGATTGAGATTTGTGAATGGTCCAATGCATAACTAATGTTCCATCATTACATCTGTAATTAAAGTAGCTGACAAAGGCGTGCTACAAATTAACATTCGACCTTGTCTCTCTTTATGTTAATATGGATTTTATGGTGTAGGGTGGTAGCTTGGCACAAACCTCGCTAATTGATTTAAAAGGTCCCTCTTATGTGCAACTACGAACAATATGCCTCAGATTCAGTTCAATATTACATAAACTAAAAGTAAAATAAATAAAACACTCACCCATCTTTTATGAAATTTGACTATATTTTATTATTTTTGTTGTAAACTTCCTCATTATGGTATGCGTGGATCCAAAATTCTTTTATGGGAAATGTGGGGCGGATCATCAACACAGTCATGGAATAAATGAATCTTGATTATTATTATTATTATTATTATTATTATTATTATTATTATCAGAATTCAAATGTGAACAAAAAATTGAGAAATGTCAAACTCACAGACCAGTCCGTAAAAGTGTAGATTTATATTGGGCTGAAAAATTGACGAGGCCCGATTTCCCAACCCTGCATGCTGCAAGCATGAGCCATTAGAGACCCAGACCTTTGGCCGGGCTTCATATTGAAAGCTGTATACAAAAAATTGGGTACAAATGCAAAATGACATTTCCAGTTCAAATCCCACACTCTAATTATAGTTTAGTATATGTTATTCAATTTCTATCCATGAGGTGCTGCTACAACATATACTGAGCACACAACATAGACAATTAGGTGAAAATACAGTCAAATGGAAAGCATTTATAATTCTCCAACATTAATAAAGGGAAATAAAATACTAAACAATCGCCAAGCAAGAATCTTTGGTGATATTTCATTCCTTAGCTTAGTTCCACCTGGGTTTACAATGCGTCTCACGAAGCATAAGGATAACGAATTTGTGGCATACCACGAAGAAAGACAAAAAACAAGGGTTAGTTTAAATATCACAAGACCTCGTTTTTTTTGTTTTTTCCTCTATTTCTTCTGAATAAAAGACTTGACGTTCTCCATCCAACGTAGGTACTCGATCTTATCCTTGTACCTCATGTGCCGATGCAGAAATTCAGCCAGCTTTTCGTCTATACCCCTCGCCTCCAGAAAACTATAGAGGCAATCTTGCAGCTCATCGTCCAATTCCCTGTAAACACATAATTAAAAAGAAAAAAAAAAAACATTTTCTCAAAAAATAAAATCAGAAAAGGAATTTTATATTTAGGGGAGAGAGAGAGAGAGAGAATAATATCAGGGTGCAAAAGAAACGAACAAAGGCAACAACATACTTGAATGCGGGACCCACGTAAGGCTGATCATTAATCTGGTCATGCCCGCGCGTAAATACATTGCGAATCTCGATGCTGTCAGGCCAGGCGGAGCAAACAAACTCCAAGACGTTAGTTTCTTCCCCCTTGAAGATGTCGATGATCAAAGTGATGTGGAGCGTGACATCATCTGAGTCGTCATCCTTTTTCGTGGGAAGTGAGTCATCGAACATAGTGACCTCGACTTTAATCTCTTCTTTTCCTCCAAATTTTCTGGTCAACCGAATCCACTGCTCCCCAGGCCTCTCGTCCACCGTGAACGAATTGAATTTTGGTATAGACTGTATAGCATGCACACAATCAGGTGCTAAACTGTCTATACATTATTGTGATTCAAGAAAGAATTGTTTTTTGTCCTTGTTTAATATGCACAGCTGTGAAGAATGTATTATCATAAGAAGTGACTAATTATTAACGTAACAAGTACATAAGTATGATTATCTTACATTAACATGTGAAGGAGATAGAGAAGCTATGTTGTTAAGGGGAAACAACCAATGCCATGCAATCTACAACTACAATGGCTTTGCCATCTATAACTCTAGTATAATTCACATGGGAATGGTTAGCTTGAAATTCTATAAACAATTAAGAAGAAAGACGCCTTGAGACAACTCAAACTTTGCTCTTTTCAATATTTACAAATTAGAATATCACGCATATCTCCTCAACAAATCCCGGGTGAAGCACAATTATGAAGAAAGATATCTTTGAACATTGGTTGCTGGAGACAACTTGTATATACCCTTTTCCAAATTTACAAGTACCATGTATAACTCATCATACAAATCCCAATTGCTTCAAGTGTTTCAGTTATTTATATTTCGACAAATCCAGCAATTACTACTTGGCAGCTATCCTTCATATTAATAAATGGAAACTCCCCAAAAAACCACAAAGCTGACTTTATTGTCCCGGATGACTCCAAAAAATGTTCCAGAAGACTATAGAGCAGTCAAAATCGTTGCATATGAAAGGAAAATGAAAAACATAAAGGACAATGGTAAATCTTCAAGTTGAGGAGGAATAAACTGTATATATTCTTACGACTGAGGAAACCTTCAAATACGACAAACAAGTCCTCATATTCTTATCTCAAATCACCACGTGATGCCAAGTAGAGAAAAATAATAGCTATAGTTGTGTTTTTCATAAAGCCTCGCCCAAGTATATTCAGTAGAACACCAGCCCTTACACAATATTGCAACACAAAATTCTATCTGCTCCACGAATCTAGCAGATTCATTAAGTTTAACTGCGAACATGAACCATAAAATTATGTAGCAGCACCAAAAATTAATTGCAATTACCTCGAATTTCACCACAATGATCACGGATTTCGATTTTCCAATCAGATACACTCAATTCCATTACAATCAGTTTATGCTAATGAGGACTTAAACCACTCAAAAAATGATAAGCTCCCAATCCAGCTGAACTGCGTCTTACAGTCGAAACGAAAAATACAACCTCATTTATATTAATCTATAAAACTAAAAAGATTACCAATTCATAAGGAGCTATTATGCTAAAACAATCAATTAGGGCCTCAGGATAATCGCATACCAACAAGAAGAAGCGGAAAACAAAGATAATGCTTGTCAATGGACATTAAACCAAGATTACCTCAGAAGAAGGAGAACGGTCGAGCTCGTATTGGATTTCGCTTCGTATAAGCCGTAGAATGTTGTTTTCGAAAGCTGAATTTCGCAAATCCGGCACGTAATTCCTAGCAAAGGCTTTGAGAAAATGGTTTGTGGGTTTGGATTGTTGACAGACGGCAACATTTTTCACTGCTCCTCGTAATCCTCGAATCAGACGATGAGCCATTTGGGTTGAACTGATGAAGAAAATGATACCGCTATGAAATCGAGTGAAAGGGTTTTTGAGGAGGGTTTGGCATATGCAATGATCAATTACCAATATACCCTGGATATAATATTTCAATAATGATGCTCTTAGGCTGTCTAAAACATCTCTAAATGGAGCATTGTTCATTTTAAGATATAGAGTATGGAAAAATGAAATTAGAAATTGTCTACAATGATTAATGTTAATTTTGACATGTGATTGTACGTTGCAACGCATCAAATTATAATTTTTATTTTTCTTCGACTAACCTCCACAACTAGTAGTAGTGTCGAGTGGTCGTTTTGGTCCATTTGATCGATCTCTCGCACTTAATGTGATTCTGTTTGGCCTAGTTATGGCTATATCAACGTACGAAGTGGTTGGGTATTAGTTGAATCTACACCATAGTGGTGGAATTTAGACTAATTAAGTTTGATCATATAATGACATAAAGTTTTTAGTGTTGTTTGTTCATTAGTGTGGTAAGTTGGTGATTATTTGGCATTGGTACTTAATTACTCACATTGATTATTTTATTCAAACTACAATACTAGTTATTTTGAGCAAATAAAATAACATTAAAGACCAGAATTTGGCATTTTTCGAAGTTTATTAAAGTATGCACTTAACATCACATAAGTACTTATTAATACTCGGTTGAATACAATTACATAATGGACCAGGTATCGATCTCATAAACGTTGACCAAAATGTAAGAATCATGCCCGTTGACCAAAGTCAGTACTAAATTAAACTACACACTCGGTACTGTTGTGAAGACTAACAAGTATCGGTTTACTATACGTAATTCATTTAATCTTTCATGTCTAACATATCATTTTGATCATTCACGTACAAAGTGGTTGGATATTAGTTGAATCTACAACATAGTGTTGAAGTTTAGACTAATCATGTTTGATCATATGGTGACATGAAGTGTTTTAGTGTTGTTTGTTCATTAGTGTGATAAGTTCTTGACTATTTGGCATCGGTACTTAATTACTCACATTGATTACCTCATTCAAACTTAAGTACTAGTTTCGAGTAAAAAATATAAGATTGTAGACTAGAATTTTATATTCTTCGAAATTTATTAAAGTATGTACTTAATACCACAAAATAGATATCTATTAATGATCAACTGAATACATTACAATATTGAGTAGGTATCGATCTCATAAGCATTGACCAAAATGCAAGAAATTCATTTCATTGACCAATGTCGGTACTAAATCCTAATTTATAAGTACTATTAGACTACACAATCAATGTTTTTGTGAAGAAAAACATGTACCAACTCACTAACCATAATTTCTTTAATCTTCCATGCCTACCATTTCATTTTGACCCTTCATGTATGAATTATTTAGATATTAGTTGAATCTACAACGTAGTGGTAGAATTTAGACTAATCAAGTTTGATGATATGATGACATGAAGTGTTATAGTGTTGTTTGTTCATTAGTGTGGTAAGTTCATGACTATTTGACACCAGTACTTAATTATTCACATTGATTACCTCATTCGAACTTAAATACAAGTTATTTCTTGTAAACAAAATATCATTGAAGACCGGAATTTAGTATTATTCGAAGTCTATTAATGTAGGTACGTAAGACCACAAGATAGGTACTCATTAATGATCGATTGAGTACTATTACACTATGGAGTGGGTATCACTCTCATAAAAGTCGACCAAAATGTAAGAAATTCTTGTTCATTGACCAAAGTTGGTACTAAATCCTATTGAACTACACACTCTGTCTGTTGTGAAGAAAATCAGGTATTGGTTTCCTAAGGAAAGACACCCACATGGAGTGAGGAACTGAGAGCCTACCGAAGCAAACGCAGCCGGACGTGGGTTGGTGTGGGTGTCGGTCAGCATCAAGGGGCGCAGAACCATCCGCTAGAGAGGAGGCACGGTGAGGACGACAGTTAGGGTTCACTGCAAATTTAGAATTTTTTTAGTTTCAAGGACAGAAAAAGAGCGTGACATTTAACAAATATGAATATAAGGAAAAAGGTAATGTGATGTTGATGGAGTCATAATTTTTTTATTTTTTTTATTTTTTTTTGCATTTTTTCATTGATAAAAAAATATATTGTAATCCTTAATATTTTTATTATTGTAAATATAATGTCATATAAAACATAATAATTAATTGTGACAATGTAATGTGAAAATAATAATAATAATAATAAAATAATTAATGGTTAAATTAAATATGCGAGTGATTGAATATTAACTTTTATTAAAAAAAATGTAATTTTAGAATTTAAATTAAATTATTTTAAAAATATAGCGTGATAATATAACTATTATAAATTTTAGGAATAATATTAAAAATTTGATTGAAGAAACATATATCTGATTGCCCCCATTAAATAAAATCCATAAAGAGAATTTCATCAATCTTATAAGTTATTATTATTTATTTACTTATAATAATATCGAAAATACAAACCCCACTTCGCCTCATAATGAGATTATTACGTTACTTTCTCCCATAAATTTGGTTTTATTATTTCCCCATTTTTTTAAATAAATTACTCAAATCACGCCAGCTCAGATTCCAGCCGTAATCTGGTTCTTTTATAAGCAATCCCATCAAAACTTTATCTATGGCCCATTTTTTCTTNTTTCTTAATAAAAAAAAAAAAAGGAAATAATGTATTTATGTTTCTTTTCCTTCCTCCGCAAATAGTTCACACACACATACACTCTGCGGCAACTCAAAATATCCCTTCAAATTTAAATTTCCAGATTTTCAGTTCAGATTTTCTCGTAAATTTTCAGATTTTGTCTAATTAATATTATTTTCGTCAGCTTAATGAATTTAGCTGCACATTGAAGGGCTGTCGTCAAGTGCCGTCAAAATCGTCTCTTTCATTTGATTGTGTCATTTCATTTATTTTTTTCTGCAATGTTATGCGGGAAAAGTACGTTTAAAAACAAGCGTGGATCGGTTGATGTGCACCTGAATGTGTACGATCTTTACTCCGTTAATGGCTATGCTTACTGGCTGGGACTCGGGGCCTACCATTCAGGTGTTCAAGGTCACTTCTCGAAATTCATTCTTATTTATTTTTTAATCATTTTTTTTTTAAAGTTGAATTCTATGCAGTATATGTGAAAATCAGATCCGTTTATGAATGATTATTGTGAATTTTGGCCTATTTTTTCAAGATTCCATTTCTGCTGAATTATTAGTTTCGAATAATACTTAATGGGTTTCCTGTGTAATTTGTGTAAATGAATTTGATTTGAGTGATTGCAATAAACTTGTAAAAATTTTTGCTAATTAAAGTAGGAAATCGATTGACTTATGGGAACATGGAGAAGTTGTGTAAGAGCTTATAACATTGTGTGTGCAAAAAGTTAGATTATTGTATACTATAATACTAATCTTGACAAATTCATTGAAAAAATGGGGTAAAAAAATTTGAAAAATTTGGTAGTTCACGGCGTGGAGTATGCGTTCGGAGCTCATGAGTATCCCACAAGCGGGATTTTCGAAGGGGAGCCGAAAATTTATGATGGGTTCACATTCAGAAAATCAATTTTGATAGGGTGGACTGATATGACCCCTGAGGAAGTAAGGGGAGTTATGGAGGAGCTTGGGGAGAAATACAGGGGAAATGTTTACAATCTAATCACGAAAAATTGCAATCATTTTTGCAACGATGCCTGCATGAAGCTAACCGGGAATCCAATCCCTAATTGGGTTAATCGTCTTGCCAGAATCGGTAAGTGTTGTTAGCTACCTTCACAAGATTTTGTTTGATCACTTCATTTTATTACTATTATTGTTTTGGATCTATGAGATGAGTTGATGTTGATGTCTTAACGACGGAACTGAAATTATATTCGAGTGGATGTGACTTGTGACGGGATTTATAGACTATAGTCTTGATAGCATTAAGTAAGCTCGAAAAGATGGTGATAAGTTTGATTTTGATGCAATCTTTATGATTTCTCTGCTTAGAAGAAATTTTGCATGCATGACATAGTTATTAATTACATACGAAAGTTGCGATGAGACGGATAGTACATTCTTTAATTTTTAAATTTCATATCTTGGACATTAATAAAAGTGGTATAATGTAGCAAAAATGTCAAAATGCATTCACTAAGCTTGATGAATGGTGGTCCTGCAACAATTGTATTCACCAAGCTTTGGTTTCATACAGGATTTT